TTTTTTTTTCTTCTTCTTTTTTCTCCTATTCTCGTATGAGTTATGCTCAGTTTCTTTACTCTTTCTTTCTTTCTTATTTTAATTTTCTAAACCAAAAAAAATAATAGAATTTTCAAAACTTTTGCAGAAGTTAATGGTTAAATTTTGCACTTGCGAAAAAGAAGTAAAAAATGAAAAACGGTTTTTGTATTTTAGCTTTTAAGACGAAAATAAAAATAGTCAACCGACCCTATTTAACGCAACTGTGGTTTGTTACAACTGAAATTTTACAAATTCTTTTCCTACTATTTTTGAAACACTTTTTTTTCTCGGCTATACAGACGTTTTGGTAGACAAAAATTGAAGTTATCAAAAACTAGAATTTTAGATTAATAAATTTTCCAAAAAAAAAAAATCTATAAGTGCTTTTGAAATTTATAATAATTACTGCACCTAACATTTTTTTAGTGCAAATTGAACAGCAGTATTTCCTGCACTGTTATATCAACACATTTCGAAGCACTTATAAAACTACTTCTGCTAATTTTTACAAGTCAACTTTAACACACAATTACGTAACATAAAGTTTTTCGTATTTTATGCGTAACGATGACCAGTTGTTGATTTTAGCGAGGAAAAACAACGGATTTTTTGTTTGTTCATTATAATTTGTGCTTATTGTAGTGTTTGTTTATTAGATACTACAATTTTGAAAGAAAAACAATAACAACAGCAACAACGATAGCGGCAGTCAGAAAAAGAGGCAGTAACAACAACAAATTGTGTAACTTCGTTAAAAGTTTTAACAAAAACTTTTTGACTATTGTATGGGCAACTATAAATCGAGACCATCATCAACTTGTGCAGGTTAAAAAAACAGCAGTTTTCTTCTATTTGTCAAAAAGTAATCTAGACATTGAGAATAAATAAAATTATTCAAATTTTTCTCTATTATAGAAGAGTTAAAGAAAAAAATCAGTGAAGGTTACGCAGTAATTCGATCGAGGCTTAGTGACGATGTCAAACCTCGTTTTGATGTCTGGAACGCTGCACAGTGTGCTTGCTTGTAAGAACCTTTTTTTGTCGGACTTTACACACTCAAAAGGATCACTGCTTACTAAAACTTGTTTATAAATGGATTATTAATTACTTTCAGCCAAGGCGATTTAAAATCCTTGGAAGGACAGCTGACCAATGTGTCCTTAGATGAGCGTACTGAGGATAGGCTATTATCACCGTTGCATTTAATATGTGCTGGACATTCCGAACAAGTCTCTGTTGTTTAAGATGACCTTTTACTTTACTACAGTAATGTTGACGCTTTTTTCAAATTTTTCTTTATAGTTCTACATTAGCCATGTTGTAGCAAGCAGAAAAAGTTGCTTTTCTGCTGGATAAATGCGGCGATGACGATGCAAAACGTAGAGCGCTGCTATGCCATTTGACCAGAAATGGCTTTTCAGCTCTACACTTTGCCATATATAAGGTATGGTCTAATGTTTGAAGACGTTTCTGTGCCTAGTTTCAATCATTTTCTGATCACCAAAGAAAAACAGTACTTTTGTTAATTTCAAAAGCTAAAATTTTGAAGAATTTTTAGAGCGAAGTAGAAACTGTAAATATTTTGTTAAACAATGGTGCTGACGTGAATTTGGCTGGACGTCTTCAGTTACCCCCCTTACATTTAGCAGCAATGTGTGGTAACGTTGAACTAATCAAACAGCTACTTACCAAAGGAGCTTCTCTACATAGTACAGATTTTGTTCAATACACAGCACTTCACTGTGCTACCTATTCATCGCACGATAAGGTAATGTTTTAGTTTGACTAAACAATAATTAATCTTTTTCTCTTTTTCTTCAATCTAAGTTAAAAATGGTAACTCCCTGACCATAATCAATAATTTTTTGCGTTACTTGATAGATTTTAGGCAGTACGATTACTGCTAAGTTATGGAGCAGATCCAAATTATAGTGGAGGAGTTCAAGATCGACCGCTACATTTGGCAAGCGGAAAAGGAAATCTTGAAATTGTTTCTGCGCTTTTAGACGCCGGAGCATACCGTAAGTAACTGGAACAAATAATTTAAATACTAGTATATGAAATTATTGCTGTAACTGGCAACACTAAATGTTATAACTTGTCGGCTATTAGAAGTGGGCTACATTTAAGCAAGTTTAACTGACGATGAAGGTAATACTTCGCTTCATTTCGCTGCGAGAACTGGTAACGTTGGAGTGATCGATTTGCTGCTAATGAAAGCTGGAAATGCCAAACAAGAGGTTTCTGTTATTCTTGAGTTACTTAAAAGTAGAAGTATTTGAAATGACAATTGTTTTTTGAGCTGCACTACTGAGTTTGTAGTGACTGCAAATGGCTGCTTTATTTTGTCTGCTTTTTCTTTTTCAGCTGGCGTTAAAAAGTAATATATATGGGGATACACCGCTTCATTTAGCATGTTATGCGGGTCGTCTTGAAGCAGCAAAACGTTTGATTGCTATATCGGGTTCTAGCACGCTTTCTTTGGTAAACTTAGTTTGGTTTGTAGGCTTAGCTCTACGTGACAGGCGCTTTCTCTAGTGATCAGATATAAATTTTGCTTTTTACTTGTTAAAATGTGCTTAAAAGGATTGTCTTGAAGTAATGTTGTGGTCTGTATGTACAAGCAGCTGCACGATCTACAGGAAAATGTTTTCTCCGAGACACCATTGCATGCGGCTTGTACTAGTGGACGAAATATGGAACTGGTAGCGTATTTACTGAGGCAACCTGGTGTTGATCCTAACTTTCAAGGTCAAGATGGGCATACGGGTCTGTTGTTGTCAAATTCTTTGTTTTTTTTTTTTATAGCTACCGTGTTTCCGCACTTCATATCGCTTTTGCTTCTTGCTCTATGTCGGCTCAAAACCTTTTTCAAGTGTTCAAAAGATCTGAGATACTTATAAAATGTGAGCATATTGAACCAGGATTAAACAATTTTAGCTCTGCATAGTGCTTGTTACCATGGACACTTACATCTTGTACAGTTTTTGTTGGACAGTGGTGCAGATCAATCCTTGACAGCCAGAGCTGTAGACAATCCCTTGTCTCCAAGTGGATCTGTTGGTAGCCTAATTAGTCAAAACTAGCATTCAACATTTACTGTTAACCTATCAGTATGATTATCACAAAAGCAAACTTGTTTTTAATGTATTCGAAAATTTCGGTTTTTTACAGTTCAAACGTAGCAGAAATAATATTACTTTTTACATTAAACAGTTTGAAATTTTCGTGTATAATGCTAAAGTTTCTCTGGAATTTACTTTAAAATCATTAATTTCTATCTTCAATTGGTGCGAGTGTTTTTCCACACTCTTCATGATCTTAACTAACAACCTTAAAATGAAAAACCGTTTGTTGTACTCGTGTAATTTACCTCTGCATTTATTGGAACTACCAGGTAATAGAAAAGGAGAATACAAATTATAAAGACGTGAAACATTTTAAAAAACAAGTTTGCTGATTTTTGTTGACAGTAGTTTTGTAATATCACCGTTAATAGGATCGTTAACGTTGGCATCCGTTCGAGCTCAAACAATGTTTTCGTTATCACGACCTGAATCAGCCGGTTCTATAGGAGATTCACTGATGTCGTCAACACAAAGTCTGTACGATGATCAGCAACAAACTCCTATAATATGGGCATATGAAAAGGGTTTTGACCAAATTGTTGCACTGCTGAAACATTACGCCAACAAACGGCCAGATTCAGATGTCTGTTCTGAGTACAGGTAAAACTGCAGGAGGAGCTTGAAGGTTACAACTGTCTTCACTCGGTGTATCTGTTTTGCTTTCGAGTCCAATTTGAATTCCTTAATATTATTATATGATATGCACCTTTATGTCGTTACTGTTTTGTGAGAAAGGAAGAAAAAGCTTGAAAACAGCAAAAATTGCTGCTAATTAAGAAGGTTGTTATTGTTATTAAAAAAAAAATTCAATAACTTGCAGTTCTGGAGACAGCAGTTATACGCCACTACCAAGTCCTATGGGTAGGCTACATTCGATGACAAAGGAAAAAGCAGAAATCTTGCAGTTAAGAGCGTCGCTTTCCAGCACTTTTCGCCTGTCCCTCAATGATGTCGATTTTCAGGTTTTACTTTTTTAACAAATTGTGACAACTGATTTCAAATAACTTAGTATCAAGCAAATTTCATCCAATAGTTTGTAAACAGAGAGGCTTCTAACTGTAAATTATTGCATTATAAAAAAAGGTAATTTTTTTTATTTTTGTTTAATGTAGAAAACAAGTATGTTTGACGCTTTGAACATTTTAAAATGAGGGAATTATTTGGTTGCAGAAACGTTTATTCCGATTAAAGTATTTGGCTATAAAAAATAAATTAGCCAGGGTGGTTTTTTAAATTTGGTGGTTTCATTCAGCTACATGACATACTGTGAAAAACATGGATTTGGCGCTTGGCGCTTAAAACTGAATGTTAATTCACTTTCATACCGTTTAGCCAAATGCAGTATAGGACTCTCAAAAAATAGTCGTCTATGTTCATGCAATTGTTGTTCAGGATGCGATTGGCAGTGGGTCATTTGGTAAGGTCTACAAAGGAACCTACAAAGGCACAACTGTAGCCATAAAGCGGTAAAACTCAATCCATGATAGTCGATTCTATATGAAAGTATAACGTGCCCAAAATTGTACACTCTTAACTGGCAGAAATTGAAGGTATCGACCAGTTGCATTCGGAGCCAAAAGTGAAGTGGACATGTTCTGTAGAGAAGTGTCGATATTACGAATGTTACAACATCCAAATGTCATTGCCTTCATTGGTGCTTGTCTAGATGATCCCAGTGTAAGTTTGAACTACAGTTTTGGCTTACATATAGTTTGGGTCTAAACAGCTGTAACCAAATGGATAATGTGTCGCTTGAACAGCAGTAGGGTTTCTGTCACTGTCGTATGTTCTTTTAGCAATTTGCAATCATTACGGAGTATGTCACAAATGGATCATTATTCTCCTTGCTTCACGAGCAGAAACGGTGAGTTTTTTCTGTTATAGATGTCATTTAGAAAGTATATATGCTACCACTGTCTGTTTTTGAATGCTCACCTGACTTCTGCGCTGCAGCGTATTAGAAATGGCTTTACGACTGAATATTGGAGTTGATGTAGCAAGAGGAATGCGGTATTTGCATGAACTTGCAACTCGACCTGTGATACATCGTGACCTAAACTCCCATAACATATTATTGCACGAAAACGGTAGGGCAGTAGTTGCTGACTTCGGTGAGTCACGGTTTATGGCTCAGCGAGATGACGACAATATGACGAAGCAACCAGGGGTAATAGTGGTATCCTTAGCCTCGTTCTTCAATTGTAAAATTGTTTTTGATAAATGGTATAGTAGTAAGCAGGGCTCTGCCCAAATTTGAAGGTAACTTACTGCAGAATCTAAGGTGGATGGCTCCAGAAATTTTCACGCAGAGTGGTAGGTATGATCGGAAAGCTGACGTTTTTAGCTATGCACTGTGTGTTTGGGAAATTCATGCCGCAGAATTACCGTTTGCTTATTTGAAACCTGCAGCTGCTGCTGCCGAAATGGCCTACAAAAGAGGTATGATGAGAGGCCAGTATACTCTTATTTGAGGCTAATTTTTCATATTAGTATCGTTCAAGACTTACAACTTCAGGACGACCGTCAATACCACCGCATCCTACACCGCAGTTTCCTGCACATATCTTAAAGGTGATTGTATCGGCATGGCAACATAATCCAGATGCAAGACCAGATTTTGCTGAAATACTCCCAACTGTTGAAGCACACGTAACATCTTTGAACATTTCTGAATGTTCGTTGGCTGTTATGAAACAAACAGGCCGTAGTCCGCCATCTTCTGTTTCCCTGCTGAAGAACCACTGGGAACGTCGGAGTACAAACAGTAAGTGGTTTTTGCAACAAAAAGTTTCCACTGTTTAATTTCTTCCTAATTCTGTCGACAGGAAAAAAAAAGAAATTGTGATTAATTAGAGCAATTTTTTATCAGAAACAACTTCTCTAAGCAGCAATTATACAGTTTCAAACTGATGGGGAAGTTGCCTAATTTGTAGATTGAAAAGTAGGACAAAACAAAAAAAAAATGGGCATGTTAGAAAATGTTAAAAACCGGTGACGACAAAGGTTGTTGTAGAAAGTGTAACCAAAATGATGGGAAAAAGGAAATCAAAAATACAAAGAGAAAAAATTGGATATAATTTTTTTTTGAACAAAGATTATGCTAATAACTGAACAAATAATTCAGTATAAATCTGAAAAAAAAGTATTTGAGAGTTTTTTTTTGAGTTTTGTGACAAATAAATTAGGTGTTTTTTTTGTTATAAAAAAAAGCACATTTTATTTCAAATATATAAAAGGTATTTGATTATGGCGATGTCGGCATCGTTGTTTTTGTTGTTGCTGCCATTATTGCTGTTTCTGTTTCTGGTTGTAGTTGCTGTTGGTGGTGGTGATTGTGATGACGAAAAAAATCTTAATTGATTTGGAATTGATGGCTGAAAATGAGGAAGAAGTTTATGCTGGTTATAATATTGTTCAAATGCCGGTTAATTAGGTTGAAAATTGAAATTACAAATATCGCTGTGCCGCCATAATGCAATCTTTTTCCTCTTCCTCAGTTACAAATTTCGTTAGCAAAACGTTTTAATTTTCTGGTGCATTAATTATCTCAATTATTCGGTGTCCTACAAAAAAGAAAATAAGAAAAAAAAAACACGCAAAGAAGAAAACTTCACTTTCTTATTTTTTTCTTTTTTCTTTCTTTAAAACACGTTGGTAATTACACCTTAACTGTTATTCTTGTCTGGCCAAATGGTACAGCCCAATAAGTATGACGGAAAGAGGATGGTTGGGAAATGGGTGGTAAATCTAACTAAGCGGGGAGTGGTGAGCGTATGAGAAAAAGATTGGTAGGTAGCTGGAAAATGTCAGAAAGCACAGCAACTGAACCGCATGAAATAGAATTTTACTTTCTTAAATAAGGATACTACATAATACAGACATTTCGTCTTCTTCAACTATTATTTTTTTTTTAACAAAAGTGCTAACCTGATCGTCAGATAAATATGAAGAATTTGAACTCGTCAAAAAAACAACAAAAACACCAGGTATAATATGTAAATCATTGG